TAAAAAGGTTAAATAAAAAAATTACAACAAAAATTTATCTTTTAAGATTACATGATAGCGTTGATGATGATTATTATATCAAATTAAATAAAAAAATAACCCTTTCAGATTACATGATGATGATTATAATTATTATTATTATATCAAATAAATTTAAAATTAAAATAAATAAGTAAAAAAAAAAGAAGAAGAATAGATTAACCATCTAAAAGCATAATTATGCTACTTCATGATACAATTTGCATCATATTTCTAGTTTTTGGAACACATTTTGATATAATAATAATAATAATAATAATAATAATACCAAGTGCTCAAAACCAAAGTGCATTTATTCAGGCCTCATTTGGCCTCTGTGTTTATTTCCTAATGAATTTTCAGATAAAATTTTAAGATAAAGTTGAAACTTAAATAAAACATAGCTGAGAAGTCTTGAGCTCTGAATGATCGACATCCAGACAATATGCAGAAATGTGGTCATGATGCAACACACTGCATTTGCTTTTCATGCAGCTATAGAGAGCCATGTCTTCTCGCTGAAAGAAAGTTATTGGTCTTGAATTGCATAAGACAATGTATTGGCAAGTCTCTTGGAATATAAAAAAATGTCCTAATATAAGACTGACGATATTAGAAAATGGCAAAATTATTTGCATTTGCAGCTGTATAACTTTATGCAGCAACAGTTTTGAACACAACCGTCAGAATAAACAGAATAAACTGCACCCTGTGGAGAAATGCATCAGTCCAGCAGCCCACAAAACACATCAGAAAAAAGCATCAAAAGCATCATTTTTACTTCCTCATGTAATTCCCCATTACAGAGACATTGCTGTCTCAAGTCAAACGGTGCAAATGCTTCCATGCATATTGTTATTCCATTCGGGTAATTATAGAAATGATGCAGGAAATCAATGAGCTGAGATGTCATATGTCAGACCAAAATAGAAGTGTGAACATTTGAGCTGCAATATTCAGGTGTCTAGTTTGTCTGAAACAAACTAGACACCTTATATAGTTTATATTTCACATAGAGTGCAAACTAAACAAAGAAAGGCAGTTTGTCTTACTGAAACGTGTTGCATGGTCTTGCCATTTTCTTCTTTGGGTGAACTAATTTTTTAAGATTAAGTAACCATCCAAATGCATACTTATGCTACCCAATGATATGATTTGCTTCACTTTTGACCTCACAATAAGATTTAGATTCACTTTTGTCCTTTTGATTTTGGAAAAAAAAAATAAATAACAATAAAATGATTGTTGTGAGTTACCTGTGTCTGCGCATCTCTCTCTACAAACAATGAAGCTGTTTAGTTACTTCGATTTTACCTCGTTGCTGGGGAAGATAATGTAGCGATCTATTATCTATGCTATTTTAATAATAATAGTCACAGGGCAGCACCGACAATAAGTTTCTGTGTGTGCGCAGCACAATCTGCAATTTCTGACCTCTCTCCCTCTCACTGGGCCTCATTCATGAAACACGAGCAGAACACATTTTTGAGTAAATCATCTGGAATGTCGTTCTGATGTTTATTTTCGGATTCATGAAAATGTTCGTATTTTGAAAATGTTAGTTGGTACGAAAGAAATTTACACCTGCTCACTACAACGTGTAAATGGTGCATACAACATTCAAACATTCTGTATTCTTTTAGACAAACTGATTACACTGCATTTTTATGAACTCTTTTAGACAAACTGATGACACTGCATTTTTATGAACTATGTATTATAATGATATTTAACGAGTTCATTTGCCCTGTCTTTAACTTTGGGTAAAACACAGAGCTCGTCACTGTCCCTTTTTACACAGCCGTCCAATCACAGTGGAGGAGGGGCGGGACAAACACTACATTGACCAACCATCATACTTGTACAAGTTAATATGGCTAGTTACTGCATTTTTATATTCAGTAATATTCTTCAGAATAAGATACTCATTACACTTTACTGCCGTGAATATTCCAAATAATAGCAAACAACGCGTCACTCCAGAAAAATGCAGTGCCTCCAAAGCTCTCTCAAGCACCACCAGCTGGTCGATTTCAGAAGAGCACCAGGCATTATGTCAGCTGGCTAAAAACGCTCTGGCGGACACACCAGATGAAATGAATTTTTTCATTTATTGTTAGGCAAAGCCTATTAGTCTCTTATGCATTTATGCTATATAACTTACCAA